GTCCTGCATCGAGTAGGGGATTGGATCCTTCTGCCCCCTTCCAGCTCTAGTAGTGTGGTGTAGTGGTTAAGAGCATGGGATTGGGACTCAGACAAACTGGGTTCTAGTCCCCACTCAGCCATGGAGCCAACTGGGTGACTTTGGGCCAGTCACAGACTCTCAGCCCAACCTACCTCACAGGGTTGTTGTGGGGATAAGATGGAGGAGGAGATGTAAGCTGCCTTGAGCCCTTTGTAAGAAAAAGGCAGGATATAAATAGAAAAATAAATAAATAAATAAATAAATAAAAATAAATATTCAGTTCTAGTACTGAATACATTCTATTATTCAATTCCTTTGTAAATTGTGCCTTTTTATTCCTTGTGGAGTTTGCCTTTTTCAGAACAGCCACACACTGGGGCATTTTAATCGAGCTGCCCACCACAACCAAAGAGCCTTTTCTTTAGCTGCTTCTGCTAGTTCAGCTCAGCTTATACTCAAAGTTAAGGATTTTTTGCCACAATGTGCATGATCTTATCCTTGCTTACCCTGAACCACGTATCATATTCTGATGCCTATTCCCCCAGCTTGGGAGGGTTCCTCTGGGTTTCACCACCCTAAATAGTTTGGTATCATTAGCAATCCTGTCCACTGTTCATTCTGAACTCTAGATTGATAGATTGATTGATTGCTTATTTATTTATTTATTTATTTATTTTAAAAATGTGTATCCCACCCTTTATGGTGTCTCAGGGTGGCAATAACATAAATAAGACAGAGCATCACAAAAAATAATTTAGGCATAAGTTGAAAAGCACTCATCTAATACAGACCTTGTGGTGGCAGGGATGTTCCCATTCCTCCATCGGAAGAAATTACTATAATACCTACACTTTGCTATCTACTCTTGAACCAGTTCCTGATGTATAAGATGGCCTCCCTTCTTATCCCCTCTTAGTCCCTAATTTTGGCCAGGAGACTTTGGTGAGGGACTCCATCAAAAGTCTTTTGTAAGTCCAAATAAACACTGCTGACCAGATCAGCATAACTTTCAAAGCCCTTCCTAAAAGTTTGCAGAAGCCGTGCTGATTCTTTTCAGTAGGGCTTGCTTTTGGTATGTTTAATAATTCTACTGTTAGTAACACTTTAAACATTTTACCCAAATCAGATTTTAAACCAATTACTCTGATTTCCCAGATTTCCCTTGGATTCGTTTCCTAAAAATGGTGTTGTATTGGCTATTAGCCAGTCCTCTGGAATAAAGATTGATCATAGGGACATGTTCGGTAAGAAGGTGAGACATTTTATTTTTGAGTTCTTTAAGAATTCTGAAATGGATACTATGTGGGTACAGTGACCTATTAACTTTCAGTTTGTTTATAAATGTGAGAATTTCATCTTGTACCACAACTATTTCAGTTCCTCAGACTCCCTTCCTGAATAAGTTCAGGAGCAGAAATTTAACCTGTGACCTCTCTGCTGTGAAGACAGATGGAAAGAATTTATTCAGTTTCTGTACAATCTCCTTATCTTCCTTTAGTACTTTAGCTCCATCATCATCCATATGTACAACTGCCTCTCTAACTGGATCCTTATAATTAAGGATTCTTCATTGCTGGGCTTAATGTTATTAGTGATATGCTCTCAAAATACTATTTTCGCTTCTTGTCTTATTGTCTGCTTGCATTTCCCTTGTGCAAGCTTTTTGTTTTCTTCATTTGGGAAGCACTTTTCCCAAATTTTCTGCAGGAAGCCTTACTTTATCTTATAAGTTCCTTGAGATTGCTCATTAACCATGGTGACCCTCAGTCTTCTTGCAACTTTCTCTACCTTTAAGTATATATACATTATCTGGGCATTTATTCTTGTGGTTCTGAGTAATCTCCAAGTGTTTTGAAGGGATTTAATCCTCCTGAGTTAGTCTTATTAGGATAGTGGACAGTCTGTTATCTCAGATATCTAAAGCAGCATCTTGAACTTTGTACAGAAATTATTAAATCTAATTTTGGGTGCCAACATCATGAAGACTGGCAAAAGCAAGATAACATTTTTAATGATGATGTCTCTAGTTCAGTGTCACTATTTTTATTCTGCATTCTTTTCATATTTTTACATATTGTCACTCACCACTTAAAAACCTTACAAAGCAACTAATTAAAATGTAGAAGAATTGATAAAACAAGAAATGAATGAATAAAGGCAAAATAGCATCAATAAAAAATAAAAATACCAGTAAACCATAGATACAGCAAAAGAACCAGCTAATTAAACGTTTGGAATCCCTACGGGAACAAAATCAAGAAGGAAGGAAAGGAAATGGAAAAAGGGACCCCCTAGTTGTTCTGTGTCAGATCAAAGTCTTATGTAGTCCAGCATTTTGTTTGCACAGTGGTCAACCAGCTGCCTACGAGTAGCTCACATGCAGGACATGAGTTTTTATCCAGCATGCCAACAGCTTAAAAGTGTGGGTGCCAGCTGAGTTTCCCTGGGACCACTGCAAGGAAGGTAGCAACCTTGCTACCATCCCCACCTCAGCTCACCAGACAAAAGTCCCCGGAGAGGCACCACCAATGAAGATCTTACAGAACAAGCAGCCTCACTGAATCACTGGAAATTACTTCAGTTTCAAGAAGGGCAGATAGAAATATTTTAAATAAAATAAAAGAATAGTATTCAAAGCAAGGTTTTGCTAAGCATTTATTCTGTGTTTCTTTTTAATGGGACACAGTTGAAGATTTAATTCCCAAGTCGCGATCTACCTGGCGTCTTTTCTTTTTTAAAAATGTAAGATATTCATGGATATGATACTGAACTTTGTGAGAAAACCTAAGGGAAACTGGAGGAACTGGATGGCATGGCCAATTATAAGTTTTCAGGTCAATGGTTCAGCTAATGGCTGACCATCTGGGATCATTAGCTTACTATCTAAAAGTTTGATCCCAGTAGGAAATGTTTCCATAATTTGGATTTATACTTTGGCAGCTTCATCTGGAGTGCAAAATAATAAATAAATAAATAAATGAGCGAGCGAGTGTGCTTTAGGACAGATATGTCCAATGTCTGAATATTCAACAGGAACCAGACAGTGGGGTGAAAGCATAATTTGTTCAACATTCTGACTTCCACATGGGTGAGTAAGTTATACAATAATATTAACCCACCTAACAGAAGGAGATAAAGCCCATGTATTCAAGCACAGCTGATGCATTACATACAACATCCAAAAGAGGAGGAACTGTAGCTCAGTAGTGGGACAAATACTTTACATGCAAAAGATCTCAAGATTAATTTTTGACATTGCTAGGTAGGCTAGGAAAGACTCCTGTCTGAAACCCTGAAGAGTTACTACCAGTGATGGTGGGCAAAATGAGCTAGACAGATCAATGGCCCAATATGAGACAGTTTTCTATATTTCAGTGATACAGAATATCTTCATTTCACAAGAAAGGCAGTGTCCAACTTTTGTCATTTGTTAGTGCAAATGACAGTGTCAGTGGAAACTGGGTTCTGAGCTCTGTGCAGGAGAAGAATCAAACCAAAGGTATGTCTGCTCAAGCAAGGATGCACAAGTGGATGGGCATTATGCTTGCTCAACCTATTGCACAACCAACTGCACATAACTCTTGGGCAACCGGTTGTGCATTCCACTTCTGCAGTCTCCTGGGCAACTGCTTGCAGAAGCAGAACGAACAACTGGCTTACACAATTCAGTGGAGCACTATTTGCACTTGAAGAATGATACTGCTAGAGACTGTACAATATGAAAACATTTTTCCTATCTCTGCTGTAAAACAGAGACCTGGTTTCATATAATGGCACTTCTTGGGTTAAACAATCCAGGAACTGTCAATGTCTAGCAAGAACAAGCAAATGGGCACACTGCTTTGCATACTTTCACAACTTCTGTCTTCAGGAATGCCTCATGATGCCCAACCAAGAAAAACTTGGTTGTTTATGGGTTAAACAATCAACAGTTAACCTAACAAATAAACCATGGATCCCTGGTTTGTTAAAGGAAACAAGGCCAATAAGCAAGCAGAAAGCAGAACACTAATTTCCTGCCCTGACAACCCATGGTTTAACACTGACAAAGTCACAGAATACATAAACATGGCAGAACTACTCAGTATGTACTAAGACTCAGTTTCATTGCTGGATAGTCAATGGCTGCAAAGGTATAACAAGAACTTACAGCCAACATCCTGCCCTTTGAAGGAATTTAAGTATTTAACAGAGCAATTCCATGTGAATCTACTCAAAAGTAAATCCCACTGCATTCAACTGGACTTTCTGGTGACTGGGCACAGGACTGCTGCCTAAGAGAATGAGAACAGGATGGTATAAAAGGAATTGGAAAAAGGGACCTCCCAGTTATTCTGCATCAGATCCAAAGTTTATGTAGTCCAACATTTTGTTTGCACAGTGGCCATCCAGCTGCCTATGAGACTAGGTCACATGTAGGACACGAGCACAATAGCACTCACCCAGTTGTGTTTCCAAGCGTGAACTACCTTTAATACAGGAGATAATCTATAATGCTCTCCTTGACATATATATTATATACCAGTGCAATATATCCTAACAAGATAGCTTTTGTCATTAGATTACAGTTGAAATG